CGGGAGCGCGTCGGGCCGCGGCTGCAGCGGCCGCGCTCAGCGGCCGGTCGTTCCACGGCTCCGCCGACAGCGGGAAGGTGGGCGCGAGCCGATCGAGGAGGAAGTTGAGGAAGAACTCGTGCTGCAGCTTGAGGTGCTCGCGCATGTTTTCAAACAGGATCGAGATGCAGCGCAGGCTGAGCGACAGCAGGGTCGTGTTGTCGGTGCGCGCCAGCAGGAAGAGGTGCTTGCAGGCCGTGTCCTGCACAATGGCGCGCAGCGAGGGGAACCTGCCAATCGACTTGCCGGCGGCCTCGAGCACGCTCGCCAGCATCGCCAGGCCCAGCAGCCGCATCGTATCGGTGTGCTGCGGGTTGGTCACGTCGAGCAGCGACACGAGCACGCGCAGCACTTCCTTGGCCGCCGGCAGGCCGTACGACTGGACCGCGATCGGAGCAAAGTCGGCGGCCTGCTCGACACCGTCGACCTCCCCGTCGCCATCGCGAGAGCTCGCGGCCGTCGAGGATCGCGCGTCGACGTCTCCGGCGCCCGAGACGCTGCCTTGATCGTCTGCATCGCCTCCGGCCGCAGAGGTGGCGTCCTCGGTGTCTGCGGAGGAGGAGCCGGCGGCAGCAGCGGCCTCTTCGGCCTCCTCGGCCTCGCCGATGGCCTTGAGGTCCTTGAGCGACTGGGCCGCCGCGGCAGGAAAGGCGTTGCTGGTCGGATCCGGCATCGTCATCCGCCGCCGCTTCTTTTCGTCGAGCTCGGCATCCTCGCCGACGGGCTCGGCGGCGAGCGTGGCATGCTCGGGCTCGGGCTCGGGCGCGTTGGGGTCGGCCGAGTAGAACTCGTCGGCGGCCGTGGGGATCGAGGCGAGCCTGCTGAAGAGCGAGCGCAGCATGGCGACCATGGCCTGCTCGGCCGTCCTGCGGAGCAGGTTGCTGAGGCGCATCTGGCAGCACATGCTGAGGCCCGTCTCCATCATCTCGCAGATGCTGTCGTCGTCGAGGCAGTCGGCGAGCGCCTTGGGCCGAGGCGGCAGCCCCTCGCGCGCGGGCGGCTCAAAGGCGGGCGTCAGGACGCCGCCGCCGCTGCCGGGCTCGCAGATGAGCTCCTGCATTACGGCGAGGATGCGCAGCAGCACCAGCTCGTCGGCGCTCGCCTCGGAAGCCTCGAAGCGGCAGTGGCTGGTGGCGTGGGCGATGTCGGAGATGGCGGCCTGCGCGCCCGGAGACGACAGCCTGATGAGGCCGTAGGCGAGGAAGCGGTGGACCGACTGGAGCGCCGCCGACGTGATGGGCCCCGTCGTCTTTGGGCTGAGGATGACGCGGAGAAAGGGCGAGATGAGCAGGGGCAGCGGAAAGGCGGAAAAGCTGGCGCACTCGCGCAGCTGAGCCCGCAGCACGGCAAAGCCGGTCAGGAGCCCGAGGCCGTCGTCGCCCTTGCCGTCGGAAGCCGCAGAGTAGCCGCTCCTTCTGGACGCGGTCGCCGTCATCGTCGCTGCTGCCGCTGCCGCTGCCGGCTCGGCCTGCTTGCCCCTGGGGTTGATCCTGAGGCCCATGCTGGCGCTGAGGCCAGGCGCCGTGCTCGATTCGCCCGCTGCGTCTCCGGCAGCGGAAACGCCTGCACCTGCGACGGCGGTAGACGAAGCGGCGGTCGGGAGCGACGAGCCTGCCAGCGACGCCTGCGCCAGGCTGTACGAGGTGAGGCCGCTGAAGGCTGCCGACGAGGCGGCGCTCCACCGCGTGTTTTTGCGCATCGCCGACGTGACCGCAGAGATCTCGGAAAGGACGAGGTGGAGCTCGTGCGACTCTAACCGCGTCTTTGGCCTCGACGGCTCGAGCGGCGGAAACGAGGCGGCCGTCGGCGTCGAGAGGCCGTCTCCGCCATGCTGGCCGAGCGGCGTGGCCGAGCGCGACTTGGCCCGCGAGCCCTTGGACGCGCTGCGAGCGCCCGCCGGAGAGCCCATGGTGAGCGGAGAAGAGCAGAAGTGCCCCTTGCGCCGGTGTCGATGTCCTTTCGTGAAGGTAGGGGCGCGGGATGCGGGACGACGCCGAAGCTGGCTCCAGGAGTGTCCAAGCGGCGCGGTAGTCGGCGAAGCCCTACAAGTGAGTGGCAGTCGCAACAGCCGTCTCGGCAAGATCCAGAGGCCAGGGAGATCCGGTAGAGAGGGGAGGGGGGGCAGACCAGGAAGCGTGAGGCGATGTTGATGGTCGTAGCCGGTCAGAAGGTGGGGAGGTGGAAGCTCGAAGCTCGAAGCTCCAAGGCGCGCCGGCCAGCTCCACCTCGCCGCCAGCCAGCCAGCCACTCAGCTCGACCGCCAAAGAGGCTGCTCGGGCTGCTGAGCTGGCGGCCCAACTCGCCTTCGGGGCATCTGCAGGCTGGCTCAAGGGGCGCGAGTTGGTCTGTGCCTCATACCTGCCAGCGTTTTAGGTTATATGTACATTATAATTCTCGCCCTCGACATCAAGTGGCCGTGTAGCTCAGTTGGTCAGAGGGTGACACTGTTAGGATGCCCGTGCCCAACGGGTTCCCGCCATGTCAAGGTCGTTGGTTCGAATCCGCCCATGGTCGCTCTTTTTGTCCCCTTTTTTGGGGGGCCCTGGGGTAGCTGTCTTTTGCCGCTGGTCGGTCGAGGACGCGGGGAAGTCGACGGTGTGTCGACTGCCGGAGAGGGGCTGCCGGGGGATGGAGGGTGATGCCCGAGTGACTGCGGCCCGTCTGAGGTCTTTTTGGCAGCCTCGACGCGTCTCCAGGGGCAGGTACGGCCTGGCTGGCACCAGACCGAACCGCAACCGCACCTGGCAGGCACGCAGAGGCGGACGACGGCGCCTGCACGACCACGACTCGACAGAGGCTGGACGACATGCATGGCACACACCACGCTGCGCTGCGCTGCGCTTGGGTTCGGGTCGACAAGGCTTCGAGGGACAGGCAAGCAGGGGCGAGCGGGCGGGCAGGTGGGCTAGGAACGGGACCGAGGAAAGAGAAAGAGGAAAAGCGAAAGAGGGGAGGAGGTGGGGGAAGAGGGACGTGGTACTTGGCTACAGGTACAACAGATGGCGGGTGGCGGAGACGGAGAGCAAGTGTTTCACTCACGCCCGGCCCGGCGAGGCAGAGACTCTGTGCCCGGATGCACCGCGTGCGCGTGCGACTCGACTCGACTCGACTCAGAAGGAGAGGAAGAGAGAGAGGGAGAGGGGGGGGGAGACCGGACGGGCCGACGACCCCCCCGAGGGCAGTCGTGCGGGCAGCGGCGAGCAGCAGGGCGAGAGGTATACAGAGCGAGAGATGGCGCAGAGGGTCGAAAGATGCAATCCGTGCGACGGCGGCGGCAAGGTCGGATGGAGGAGGAGGGGGAACAGCGAGCGGGGCAGGGCAAAGCGACGGGGGGCGCTGGCACCGGATCGCGTGCTGGCGAGCGACGGCGGAAGGAGCGACTGAACGAATCGGCGAAGCGGCAAAGGGCAGAGAAGACGAAGGCGAGTTGGCGGAAGGCCGGCGGGCGGGCCGGCGGGCCGGCGAGCGAGCGCACGCACGGCAGAAGCCGGTACGGACGGCGGCTCGGCGGGGCAGGCTAAAGGGTGCCCGCGCCCGCACACGGCCTCTTCACAGGTCGTCTCCATCGTCGTCCTCGTCGTCGTCGTCGTCATCGTCGTCTCCCTTGCCTCCCGACTTGCTCGTCGTGGGCTCGAGGCCGTGGAGCTGCTCGTAGTCGCGGCGCAGGTGCTCGTAGCGCGCCTTGTCCTGCTCGGCCTTGTCGAGGTAGGGCTGCTTCTCCGTCTCCGAGAGGCTGCGCCACTTGGCGGCGGCCAGCACGCTCTGCTTGGTCGTCTCCGACTCGCCCTCAAACACCTCCTGCGTCATGTTGGGGTCCGCCCGGATCGCCCGCAGGAAGAGGAAGTAGGCCGACAGCGGCTTCTTGGGCGCGTTGGGGTCCTTGAGATTGCCCTTGCGCGACTTGCCCGCTTTGCGCTGCGCGGTCCGGAACGCATTCTCGCGTCGGATGTCCTCGGGCGTCAGCTTCGACTTCCAGTCCTCCATCTCCTTTTCCCAGACCTCCTTGGCCTCGAGGCTCCTCCGTTGGAACTCCTGGTGGGGGCCGACGGGACAGGGTGGGTGGCAGCGAGACGGGACATGAGACGCACGCGTCGGGCAGACGAGGAAGAAACAGGGTCAGCCGACGGCGCTCGCGAGGCAGACGGGCATCCCCCGTGGCAACGCACCTGCTTGGCCGACTGGGGCAGCGCCGCGTAGCGCTGGCCTGCGTCCTTGGCGACGTGGGCCACGTTGAGCTTCTCGCCGGGGCTGTGCGCCTTGATCTTCTGCAGCTCCTCGGTAAAGAAAATCTGCCACGCCGACGGCGCCTGCTTCGGAGGCTTGAGGTGCGACTTGAGGACGGGCGCCTTGGGGGCTGCGTGCGCGGCGCGAAAGCCGGGTACGAATGGGGAGGGGGGGAGGGGACGATGACACTCGAGCAACGATCAGCAGGCCGTGGTGGGGCCACTTTACGCACGACCACGCCGGCAGACTCACCATCCTCCTTCTTGGCCTTCTTGCTGGCGCTCGGCTTGGCCTCCTTCTCCTCGGCCATGACGGGGATCGGGGCGGCGACGGCGGCGGCGGCGGCCGGCACGGCGTACGGGTGGTGGCGGTCCTTGGCCGGCTTCTCGTCGTTGGGCGAGACGCCCTTCTTGGAGCGCGACGAGGCGGCCGGCGCCTTGGCCCGCTTCTCGCCCTTGACCTTGGCGGCGGGCACGGCAGCAGGGGCGGCAGCGGCAGCGGCGTTGCCGGCCGCCTGTCCGGACGCGACGCCCTGGACGCCACCGGGGTGGAAGTACTGCTGCTGGTAGTGCTGCTGCTGGTTAAAGTTGTTGAACTGCTCGCTGTTGCCGCCGCTGGGCGCGCCCATCATGGGGTTGGAGCCGGCGCCGCCCACCATGCCGCCCATGCCGCCGTGGGCAGCCTGGCCGGGCACGTGCGAGTAGTGCTGCTGGCCCGACTGGCCGTAGCCGCCGTACATGGGCATCGAGCCGGCGCCGTGGCCGCCGTGGACGTGGGCGTGCGAGTTGTTGGGCGAGTGCTGCGAGTGCGAGAGCTGCGAGGGCATCGCGTGGGACTGGCCCTGGAAGTGGGATCCGTACGGGTGGCCGGGCGACGAGCCGAACAGCGTCGGCGCCGGGCTCGAGTGCTGCTGCGGGCTCTGGTTGAGCAGGCGCGGGGACTGGTGGCTCAGGCCTGCGGGGACGGACGGGCGGCGCGGCGAGAGGAAATGAGGGAGGTGGTGCAAGCAGCGGCAGCGGCGTCAGAGTCACACGAAACGGGACGCGACGCGACGCGACGCGACCGGCCGAGTCAGAGGAGAGCTTACCTGGATGGCCCATGCCGTAGCCGCCGCCGTGACCGCTGGCGTTGCCGCCGAGCGGCGGGAGCTGCATGCCACCGTAGTGGCCGCCTCCTTCCATGTTCATGCCCCTCGAGTGCTGCGACGCGTCAAAGCGAGGGGAAAGGCGCGCAACGATGAGGATCAGCAAGGCGATGCTCGCGGTGGTCTGACGCGGGTCGTCCGGGACGTGCCGGTGGCGGCAGGCACGCGCGCGGCGCGGCGCGACGCGACGCCAAGAGACTCACCATGGCGGCGGGGTTAAAGTACTGCTGACCGCTTCCGACGTCTTCGGAGGTGTGGCCGTGGTGGGAGTGGTGTGCCATCGCGTCGGACGGCTGCAATCTGCGAGCTTGGGCTTGTGCAACGGCTTCTTGGGGAGAGACGAGGTGCTGCGAGTCCATGGTTCGTCGCCACGGCTCTAGGTCTTGTTGGGGGTTGGCGCCGAGGAGCTCGTGGAGAGATCCTCTTTTGGTGGCGGCCAAGGTGGTGTTGCGCGCTCGAGCTGGGTGTCGAGGCGGTGCCAGGATGGGGGGTGTCGTCGCGTACGGGTACGGCGAGAACGACGCGTCGCGCGATGCGATGGGGACGGTGTGGGACGATGTGGGTTGGGTGGGTTGGGTGGCGTCGAACGGTCCGAGCGGGCGACGGCGACGGGGCAGGTGGCGAAGAGTCCCCTATGCTACGCAGGGAGGGGTGGTGTGGAGGAGCCGGTTGGCGCGGCGAGCGGATGGAGAAGGGAGGCCCGGGCGGATGGTGGCGGTGGCGGCGAGGGAGGGTCGCGACGCGCGTGGGTGTGGTGTGTGGTGTGGAGCGCGGGAGGGAAGGATGGCAGGCCGACGGCGACGAGGCTCGAGCGGGGGCGTGCAGTCGCGCCGGACAGGAAGAAAGGGCCGAGGACAGAGGGACGGCGGAGGCGGCGGCGGCGGCGGCGGCGGCGGCTAATTCTGCTTACTGCTGCTGCTGCTGTGATGCTGCTGGCTGCTGCGCTGGCTGCTGTTGCTGCGTCTGGGGAGCAGGAGGAGGGAGGGAGGAAGGAGGAGGCGTAGCAAGGGAAGCAAAGGCAGGGAGCGGGCAAAAGCACGCAGATGGGGGGGGCCAGCGAGACCAGAAGGGGGGCGGCGACGGCGGCGGCGGCGGCGGCGGGGCGCAGATCGAGGCGACCAGAGAGCGAGCGAGGGAGGCTGGAGGCCGGGCAAAGGGGGGGATCAGGGGGGATGTGATGGTCGAGAATCAAGAGGAATAGTGCCCCTCGAGGCAGAAGGGCCAGAGGGGGGCTTGTTTGGGTTCGATTTGCCTTTGGGCCGGGCGGGCGCGCCCCCAGCCCCCAGCTCTGACCCTCTGCTGGGCGGCAGGCCCCAACAGGCAGGGCGAGGTGAGGTGAGGTGAGGTGAGAAAAAAACCCCGGGAGAGTCCGTCTGGCCTCGGCGCGCAAGCCGGCCGGGCAGAGGCAGGCAGGGCCAGGCAGGCTCGAAAAAAAAAATCACGGGCAGCCTGCCTGGCCAGCCAGCCAGGCAGCCAGCCAGCCCATTCCAGGCTCGACGCTTGTGGGGCGCGCGGCTGACGAAGAGATCACACAAGCGCAGGCCAGGCAGGCAGGGCCGCGCGCGGCCCAGGTCAGGCCAGTCCTGGCCAGGCCAGGCTGGGCCGTCATCGCCGGGCGCG